GAGAGAGAGAGAGAGAGAGAGAGAGAGAGAGAGAGAGAGAGGGAAAGAAAGAGAGAGAAAGAGAGAAAGAAAGAGAGGGAGAGAGAGAGGGAGAAAGAAAGAGAGAGAGAGGGAGAAAGAAAGAAAGAGAGAGAGAGAACGCGAGAGAGAGATTTTACCTGTCTAACCCTTATACACAGAGAACCAGGCAGAGAGAGATGTATGTCTGTGTGTGTGTGTGTGTGTGTGTCTGTGTGTGTGTGTGCATGTGTGTGTGTGTATGTGTGTGTATGTGTGTGTGTATGTGTGTGTATGTGCGTGTGTGTATGTGTGTGTATGTGTGTGTGTATGTACGTGTGTGGTGCGCGCGCGCATGTGTGTGTAATAATAAAAGAAAACACACAAAGAACAGCATCAACAAAGGGAGAACAAACTGATGGAGAAGGGTCCGTACTGGTTGGCTTGGGTCCGTAGGTCCGAGATGTACTCGGTGGTCTCCCTGTTGAGCTGCAGGTAAATGCCTTGCTCGGTGAGGGATGCAGAGAACGGCTTGAAGCATTGCTCCACGAATTGCCTGAGGACGAGGCCACATACAATATTTCCGTTAAACATTTAGGTCATGCTTTACGTTTCACATTTCAAATTTTTTTTATTCCTTTGAGCAAAGAGAAGAACATCGACACAATAATAGTCATTTAGTCCTGGGAAAAAGAAAGACAGACAGACAGAAACAACAGATGGAAAGAAGAAGAGGACCTATCAGTGGCGCCCTCCAACCCCCCACGTATCAACTTCATTAATTAGAAACAAAACAGGCAAATACTCAAGACAGTAGGCAGGCAGACAGATGACTATATACATACAGACTGTTAAGGTCATTTTAGGATGAACAAGAAAAGGACGGACTGATTGGTGGATAGACGGATGGACGGACTGGCAAAAAGCATTCCGAGAACCTCGATAAAGAAGAAGGGACACAACTCTCTATATTTGTAGAATACAGACTTTCAATTTTATGGTTACTTCCCTTCGGTTTCGGCTTTTCAACAAGTGGGTCAACATTTCCATTGCATTATTTTGTACTTCTGGAAGAGAAGAGCGTAACAAGTAGTACAAACTTTCAACTTTTCAACACTTCCGTATCGGCAGTGATTTAAAGTTGTAGATAAGTTGCCTCTGCTGGTTCTCAATGGTTACTCAATGCTTACTTCTGTACCCTACGAAGGTAAGTGTATTACTAAAGTCGTGCAAAGCTATTCAGAATTTCATGATTTTGAGCCTCTTGAAACGAGCACAATGCACGTCAGACAAATATTACGGGATTTCCTCAGCTTCACTCAAGAAGCACCAGCGTAGAACTTGGAGAAGTCGAAGAGTCGGGGATTTCGGTCGGGTTTTGTTTTTGTTTTTGATTGTTTGTTTAATAGATTTAGATTAGATCTAATCTAAATCTAGAATCTAGATCTAGATCTAGATTGGTTGTTTTATTTTGTTTTCGGGTTGTTTTTGTCCAAGTCTAGATCTAGATCTAGATTCTAGATCTCTAGATCTAGGTCTAGGAATCTAGATTCTAGGTCTAGATATCTAGATCTAGATCATTTATACATATTGCGATCCAACAATGACGCCAAAGTTGCAAGGTAGATCGGGATTCTTTTCTAGATATCTAGATTAGATCTAGATCTAGAGATCTAGATAGAGACCTCTAAACAAATGGGTAACAGGGAAAGATCAGGGAAATGTAGCTTTTTTGAGAGCATCGGAGCAAAGGAATGAATGGAGACAAACCATGGTTGCCGATGTCTGTCGCAGATCTGGCACTGGTGGTTGATGATGAGGACAAAGTAAAGTGAATTTTACACTTTATCCCCATATTACAGACAATTAATACTTCGAAGAGACCATTCGAACTCAAGTCCGAACAGCCACCTGAGGCTATTCAGACTCAAATTCCAGTGCACGTGCGCAATCACCGGTTGTACCGTAAGCGAAGTCTATACTCCAGTCTGAATAGTCTCCTTTTAAACTACTGGAAGGCTATTGCAGTGCGTTTCACGACTACAAAAGGATAAATTCGTTATAATGTATTAAATCAGCCTTATAAGGCAGCCCCCCCCCCCTCTCTCTCTCTCTCTCTCTCTCTCTTACAAAATTCCTCTTTCTCTTTAACTTTTTCTTTCTCCATCTTACTTCCCCAGGCCTGCCCCACCACGTTACCTCTTTTTTTTTAGCATAGTATAGATCTATATTCCCTCCCATACCGTTGCCCACTGCCCGCCCCTACTATTACATTATCATCCTTTGTAAAGAAAAGACCACAGTTCGCACTGGGTCACCACGGTCGGCGTCCATTTGTTGTAAATTCCTTGGCCAGATCATAGAAACCGAAGAAGGCAAAGGTAGAATTGCATGTTTGCTTCATACCGAGTACACTTAGTGATTGCGACTCGAGTCTGAATAGCTGCGGCATTATATTACTTAGTAGAAAAATACTATAGCTAGTTACTGTTCAGTAACATAATATGTTGAATGAATGAGATGTCCAAAGTATAGTTAAATGCAAGGTTAAGAGCCGGAGATAAAGGATGTCATCATGTGCGAATATTTTTGTTATGGAATGCTGGTATATTTTATCACTTCTTGTGTCCACGCTCCGTCAAAAGACGAATTTAAGATCGCTGCGTCAAAAGACGAAAAGATTAAGTATGGTTTTGTGATCATTTATGCATATATAGGTTGGAGATGGTCTCTCATCTTAACACAAACTTAAAGTCTCATGATTAGGAGTATATATTATATTTGATACCACACGTATATGTTCTGTAGGCTACATCACTTGTTGGGGTTTATGTACCCCTGGTCATAGTGTGTGTGGAATCCATAATCAGGGGTAATTTACACTCAAGATGTCCCTTGTGAAAGCTGTGTTTTGAATAAAGAGCATTGTAATTGTAAGTTGAGGAGATCATGCCTGCCAAGGCCAGATGCCAGTGTAAAGTTCAAAACAGTAAACATCCCTCCAAAAGCAGAATAATATAAAATAATCTCAATTTCAGTGCATGAAAAATGGGGGAACCGTGCTGCTGGTCATCATAAAATACCCTGCATGTTGTGTTGAGTTAAATTTAGGTGTATTACATACCCATTTACACAATTCAATAATTTAGGAGGGATACTCATCCCCACCCAACAGAAAAAGCGAGATACGCGATAAAATTTGTCCCCACTCTCGAAGTAATGTTTCCAGAGTGCAATAGCGAAGTCTCTAGTTTAAGTTTTAGTAGAGGTTTTACAGCGCTCGCAACTGCATATAAGGTCATATGGGCGCCAGAAGATTAGAGGTGTTACAAGAGAGTAACAAACATAAAACAGAAGAAGGGGGAGAGAACTACAATAGATGTTTGATAGGAAAGAAGAAGCAAACAACACCAGAGCACCCGCCAACCACCCAATGCGAAGTGTCTACTCACTACACCACAAATATAAATGTCAGTGTTGAAAAGAGTTACAACGTATTAAGTCAAGTGCCTTTGAGATTTTGCACAGCAGGAAAGCGGAAGTCGGATACGATTTGGGCAAAGAGCAAAGCTTTTCCCCTTCGACATCAACACTATCCACTGAATTTAGGATAAATCAGAGATGAATTATGGTTTACCTGCTCTTATATACCCATTTTAGTCCTCTTCAGACCCTTTAATGTCCTCTTTAACATTATTGTGTGCATGCTTTAGTGTATGAGCATATTCTTCACTTGCTCATTCACTCACTTGAGAGAGAGACAGAGACAGACAGACAGACAGACACAGAGAGAGGGAGAGAGAGAGAGAGAGGGAGAGAGAGAGAGAGAGAGAGAGATTGACAGACATTGGAGAAACAGAATAGAAAAAGAGATATAGAGAGAAACTTAAGTGAAAAATCATGGTTGC